TCACCACTGAACCGGTAACATCAGGGTAAAAATCCTCACCACTGAACCGGTAACATCAGGGTAAAAATCCTCACCACTGAACCGGTAACATCAGGATAAATAGGAGAAAGGCTGAGGTTGTCAAAGCCTTCATTTTGTTTGGATCCACAATCAACATTCATGGAAGTAGCAGTCAAGAAACCAAACAACATATTGTATTTGGCAAATCTTCTGCACAAGACCTCTTTAAAGTATTTAAGAGCAAAGATGTCCGTTTGAAGACTAAAGTTTGCCTTATCCAAGTCATGGTATTTTCAGTAAGCCTCATATGCATGTGAAAGTTGGACAGTGAATAAGGAAGACTGGAGAAGAATTGGTGCCTTTAATTTTGGTGTTGAGAAGAATATTAAGATCTCCCAGAAGACAAATCTGTCTTGGAAGAAGTCCATCAGAACGTGCTTTAGAAGTGAGACTGGTTAAGTCTTTGTCTCTCATACTTTGGATATGTTATCAGGAGGAACCAATCACTGGAGAAAGACATCAGGCTTGGAAAAGTAGAGCATTGGCAAAAAAGAAGACCCCCCTCCCCCAACAAGAAGAAGTGACACGGTGGCACAGCAGTGGGCTCGGACATTTAACCACCATGAGGATGGCACAGGATTGGGCACGGTTAGTTCTTTTGTACACAGGGTCATTATGGGTCAATTCAGAACCAAGTTAGCAGCTGCAAGTTCAGTTTGAACCATAAGATTGCTGGGGTTCAAGCTCACTAGCCACTCGGAGGAAACCCTAGACAGGGTCGCTATGAGTTGGATACGACTTGACGGCACTTAACAAAAGCAACACCAAGGAGTCTGCTTGGGCACTGAATTAGACATATGCAGTGCAGTGCAATTAATTTCTTAATATGGCTTTTCTAGTCAATTTCTCTGTAAGTGTCACCAATCACCTGTAGGGACCAATCAGACTAGGTGACTTCCTCTTTTCCTGATGGCTTTGGGTAAGGGACAGTAGGAGAGAAGCTGCTGATGGGAATTTATCATTCAGTTAGAAAATAACTGTTAACAGGGTTACTTGGGAATCGTAACATGAGGATGGATCAGTTTTCACATCCTACCAGGTATGAAATGAGCCCTCTCAGAAGAAGGAAAGGAAGTTTGAATACCATCAAGAAAGATGAGCCGGGAGTAGAGCATGTCCTTTGGACCCCAAGATCCCTGCACATCAAACCTCCTTGACCCAGGGTCAGAAAGTTGAGACATCAAAGGAGCAGCAACAACAGAGCCAAGACCCAGAGCTGCAGTGACACAGAAATGGACTTTGCAGCTCAAAGGACAAGTTAAGGCGAATGCCCTCGGGCAGGAGGCTCACAGGGTGAGCCTCCAGGCAATTAATTGGGGAGTTAAGTTTGCTGAGGCACGGTGCCAGAGCTGAGTCTCTTCAGGCTGAGGCTTACAATGGAGTGGGGCACTCTCTGGACATTTATCAGCAACACTAAAGGAGCTTTTGGAGTGCTGGTGTGGCGCTGCAGGATAATGCACTGGACCGCAAGGTCAGTTGTTCAAACCCACCAGCTGCTCCTCAGAAATGCTATACAGGGTCACTATGAGTTGGAACGGACTCCACTGTGCTTAACAACAAACAAAGGAGATTTACAGCATTTCCTTAGCAGGGTGGAGGCCAGGCCAAGGGCCCGAGGGCTAGAGAGTGACCTGCTGTGGAAGTGGCTAAGAAGAGGTTGTCTTGACCAAAGGGCGGTATCCTGAACATTTCTCATCCTGATCTGGAGCCTGATGTTAACTCCCTAAGACCCCGTTATCGTGAGTGTTGGAAGTTTTGTGGGGTCATCGCAATGAATTCTAGAACCCAGCAGGGAAGGAGGTGTGGGAGGGCGGCTGGAATCAGAATCTGTTAAGAAGATTGGAGGGCGGAGGTGTGTCTGACCTCATAGGAATTGGCCAAGGCCTGAGAGTTGCTGACAGTGACCATCCTCACCCCTGGTCAAGTCAGAGGAGCTCCATGCCCTTTTCACAAAATATGAAGTTATACACAGAAAACAAGGCATGTGGAGAAAGACAGGATTCGAATTCTAGAGAAAACAAAGTTTGTGCAAGAAACCTACACTACTCGTGTACCTCATGGCTCCAGTGTGAACACTACGTTTTCACATGTGATCACTTAAACCCTGAAGAGAGTTCTAACCAAAATCATGATATAAGTGGGTGTCAAGTGAAATGGGAAGATTATGTGAGTAGGACACAGATTAGAAAAGGAAAGAGCTCTAAACCCTCACCTTGCACAACTCTTGTTGATAAGTGCCGTCAAGTCGGCAGTGACACTGTCCTGTAAGCAGGAGCAGAAAGCCTTGTGTCTCTCCTGCACATTAGCTGGTGAGCTCGAACCACCGAATTGTGGTGCTCATCCTATGGAGTCATGATGTTGTTGTTGTTAAGTGCCATCGAGTCGGTTCCAACTCATAGCGACCCTGTAAAGGGTTTCCAAGGAGTGGCTGCTGAATTGGAACTACCAGTCTTGCAGTTCAAAACAACCTTGTGGTCCAGTGTTTATCCTACAGGATCAGACACACCAGGACCTCTATGTGGCTGTTGCTAAGTACCGTCGAGTCAGTTCCAACTCATAGCGACCCTGTATAGGGTTTCTAAGGAGCAGCTGACCTCATGGTTCAAACTGACCTTACGGTCCAGTGCTTTATACCACACTAGGACTTCTACAGGCACTGCTTAACCCTAAAGAAACAAGGAGATACTCAGGCACAATATGGAGACAGACACAGGAAGGAAAATGCCAAAAAGAACTACTGAAAAAACATACAAAACTCATCCTCACCTAGAAGGGAGGAAATGAATGTATCAATTTATGAAATATTAAAACTGAAGGCCTCCCTCCAAAAACAAAGCTCTATTACTACCATCAGTTTTTATCTCATTCTCCGCTAGCCTTTATCTCGAGCCCCTTCACTTTGTTTATCTAAACTTTTTTAAAAAAAAATACTACCTTTTATCAGGTGCTTCACCTTCTCACACAATTTTAAGAGATTATCAACATATTTTTTCTCTGTCTCTAGAAATTCCAATTCTTTCCGTCTCCAAATCAGCACAGATGATAAATTCTGGTTTTTTTCCTGGGGCGAAAGTCTTTCACACTCTGGAAAGACAAGAGACAAAGAGGTAACCCAGAGATCAGCCCAGCACATGGTTTCCCTGCCCTCCCGCCTCCCATCGCCCTCTGCCTGCGCTCCGTCTTCACTGCTGTGAGTGGGTGAGGAGGGACGGTGGCCTGCACGGCCACTCTGCCAATGAGGGCCAGCCACAAGCCCCTCAGGACAAAAGGACTGTACACTCTGACCTTTCCACTCTTGCATGGCTTCCCCATCGTATCCCGAGAAGAGAACGCACTGTGGAGCCACTCACTGCCAAGTGCTGCTACTCGTTCTGAAGAGCACCCCCTCTAGATACGCATGCACAGGCAGGACACGCCTCACCCTGGGGCTCCTCAGGTGTCCCTACCTCTGCGTGACACTTACTTATTTTCCAGATGTCGAGGAACTGAGCCTGGTGCTTCACAATTAGCTCCAGTTGTCGCACTAAAATGGTTCCGTTGAGGAGGTCACTAGCAACTCTTGTGAACACCGAGTCAGCAGTGACCATCAACCTCTTGCTGTCCTCTGTGAGGTTCTCTAACATCTTCTCATCGGATCCTGAGCAGGGTAGGACCAGAGTTAAAACCGTGGGCCCCCACTTCCTTCCTGCTCTGTGGCTTTAAAGCCCATGAGCTCTCAGTAACCTCCTCTTTGCTCTGCCCCAACTTTCCTACAATACCAGCAGAAGTCAGGTGCATTTCCAGAAGTGCTAGTCACGTCAGAGCATCAAGCTTCACTCATGTCCCAAATGACTTCCTGGCTCATGAAGATGATTCCCCAAGCAGCCAGGTGAACCACAATTCTCAGGATTTTAAAACCTGTACCATCCCCTCACTGCTACACCATATAACTTGTGAACTACACACCAACTCCTTTAACATCCCCTATGTTGAGAATCTGGAGTCCTGGTGTGGCACAGCAGGGTAAGCACTGAACTGATCACATAGTTGCTTGTTCAAACCCACCAACCACTCCTTGGAAACCCTATGCAGGGTCATTAGGAGTAGGAACTGACTCGACAGCGCTTCACAACTACAGTATTGAGACTGTCTCTCTGCAGCAGAGGAATGAACTGCCCAGGGCCGGGTTAGCATGCAGTGTGGCCTCTGGGCATGGGGACAGCTCCAGGGTCCCGTGGGGCAAGAGCCCAAGTGGTGAAGACTGGACATGCTGCAGGTCGGAGCTATCCCGCAAAGCTTGGTATGCCAATGGGGAATCATGGGAGACGACAGAATTGTCCAAATGGATCATGAGAAACTACTGAAAGATATCTCTCCCAATACTACTAGCCTTGTACAGTGTGATGGGAGTCCTGGGGTGGTGCTGTAGGGTAAGTTCTAGACCACAAGGTTGGTGGTTCAAGCTCACCAGCTGCTCCTTGGAAACCCTATGCAGGGGTGTTATGAATTAGAACCGACTTGAAGGCATGTAACAACAATAACATAATATTATTAAGGGCCAAACTTTGTCTCTCATACTTGGACCTATTGTCAGGAGGGACCAGTGGCTGGAGAAGGATATTATGTTTGGTAAGGTGGAGGGTCAGAGAAAAAGAGGAAGACCCCCAACGAGATGGATTAGCCAAAGTGACAGCATCAATGGCAACAGTGTGAGGTTGGCCCAGGATCAGGCAGTGTTTTGTTCTGCTGTGCATAGGGTCGCTATGAGTCGGTACCGACTCGATGGCACCTGAAAACTACAACAACATTAAGGAGCCCTGGTGGTACAGTGTTTAAGCACTCAAGTGCTAAATAAAAGTTTAGTGGTTCAAACCCACCAGCCACTCCTCAGAAGAAAGATGTGGCAGTTTTGATTTACCATGCAAGACCCCCTGAGCCTTCCTGGACCCCTCATCTAGCCTGCTTTCTTTCTCAAACACCAGCCCCTCCTTCTATTGCAATCCTCTCCCCCTCTGCCCTTCCTTGAAGCCAGGGGACACACATGTCACAGTTTAGTCCTCACACACCGTACAGTCTGAAGATCTGCTTGCCATCTTGTCCCTTGAGCAGGTACTTTAAAACCTCATCCACATCATCTACTGCCATCCCATGTTTCACGGGCCAGGACTTTGTGATCACAGCAGATGCAAGTTTGCCAAATCTCCGCAGATCATGACGAGAGAGTCCATCAAGGATGTTGGTCTGAGACTATGAAAACAATCAAGAAAGGGCAAATTATTGATGTTGGTTTGCTTTTATTTTTTTCCCATGATTTAGTTGAAAACTTACAGATCAAATTGGTTTTCCATTCAGTGATTTGTACACATTTTGTCTGGTGATGGATTGCAGTGTAATAGCATTCTTTCTACTTTTTCCTGTGTTTACCATTTGTCTTCATCCTTTTTTCCTACCCCTTCCTGTTTTCTGAGCTTTATTCCTGGGTAAATGCTGCTCTTTTGATCCTAAATGGCTAACTGTTCTATCTAAAGAGTATACCTCTCTGATGTGACTGTTTACCTTATAAGTCTGTCTGTCCTTTGGCTGAAGTTGGGCCTTGAGGTGAGTGTAGCTCCAGGTCTGACGGTTATCTAAGGGCCATGGTCTTGGGAGTTACTGGTATTTTTTTTAAACAGCAGACGTTAACAACCCACCACGGCTATTTTAGCAATCCATTAACATAAGTTTTAAGGCCTCAAAAAAGCAAGTTAGTGAAGTATTGAACGCTTCTTAGACCATTTCTAATTCCCTGTGTACTGATTCTGTTTCCCTAATAGAACCGTTCCCACTTTCGAAATCTTCCTTCCATGAATGTGGATACATCTCTGGAGTCTTACTGTGTACCTGCTAAACAAGTGTTAACAGACATCCCAACAAGGACCTTTTGGGAGCTGCTGCTTGTAAGTGTGTGTGACTTGCAGTTTCCTATGAGTGGTTGTGAATTCCCATTGTCCATAATGGCCACCTGTTGTTCACTACCACCATGGTGGTCCCCAACTCCTGCAAACCCATCCACAATGGAACAAAACACTGCTCTGTCCTGCTCCATCCCCATAATCGGCTGTGACTGCACCACTGTGGTCCCTAAGACCCATTTGACTGATTTTCTAGAAGTAGATCACAGGCTGATATCCTCGTCTGTCTTAGTCTGGAAGCTTGGCTAAAACCTGTCCAACATCACAGCAACACACGAACCTCCACTGACAAGAATTCTACCCCTGAGCCACACCTGCCCTCCTATCAGCCATGGAGTAGCATCAAAGGGGGCAGCCTTTCACACACCCACCTCCCATCCCCCTTGGCGTCAGCACAGCATCACAGCCTTTAGCTGATGGGTGGTTTTCTAAGTCAGCACACTGGTTACCTGGCAGGCCATGTTCACAGCTTCCAGGACGCACTTCTCGAAGGTCTTGGCCACACTGTCGTCCAGGTTTGAAGCATCCCAGCCAGAGCTACAGTAGACCGAGATCTGTGCGAGGGGCTTCTCCTGAAGAAGCAGAGACACAATGGAGGAGTCGAAAGGGCCTGGGTCCCTTCCTTCCTGCGATTTTCTCAGGGTCCCAGGCTTTCACCTCCATCCTTCCAACCCTGAGTGTGTCCTCCCTGACCTCCCCACCAGACCAGCAAGGCTGAAAGGACTCTCGCTTCCCTCCTGCAGAAGAAGTACCGGGCACAGAAGCTGCAAAAACAGGTTCACCTCGTTCAAGCAGCGCTTGCCCTAGAACCTCTATTTAGTGACTCCAGTAAAAGCTCTCTCATAATCATGGCTAAACGGATTTCCAGGATCAAATAGAAAGCGCTTTCCACATATGCTGCTGTGTTTACTAACTCTCCTGTCACCAACAGGCCACTTGGAGCTGTCTCATAGGGAGGGCTTTACCCCCTTACATCTAAGGAGCTCTGGAAGCGTAGTGGATACGAATCGGGCTGCGAACCGCAAGGTCAGTGGTTCAAAACTACCAGCTGTTCCGTGGGAGAAAGATGAGGCTTTCTGTTCCCGTAAAGATTTACAGCCTCAGAAACCCTGTTCAGGGTCACTATGGGTCGGAACCGACTTGATGGCACTTAACAACAACAATACCCCCTTACATCTAAGGGTCCCTGTGATGGTTAAGATCCACACTATCATGACCAACCTGTGAGTTGTTCACAAGGATCAGACTCCTAGACTATGGCTTCTCTCCTGCCCTGCACACAGTGAGCTATCTGTTCACACACAGACTCCCTTCACCCACTGAAAGAGCACCCCAAGGCTGTTGGTACCTGTTTGAATCTCCCTTCCAGGTCTCTCAGCAACGCCTCCTTCCAGCCATATTTCACAGGAAAAGGTATTTCCACCAGCCGTCTCCAGACCTGCAAACCCACACATACAAGACCCCACTGTGACATCGATGGAACTCTGTTAAGGGTGATGGAAAATCTGGGAACAGGTTAAGTTTGAGGGTTGAACAACCTGATATCATTAATGCCACTCAACGGGAGTCCCGCGGTGGCACTGTAGAATAAGCCCTGGACCGCAAAGTCACCTGTTCAAACTCATCAGCAAAGCTTCTGAGAAACCCTATTCGGGGTGGCTAGTCAGAACTGACTCAACAGCACTTAACAACTGTACACATGGAGACTAGAACTGTCAGATGTTAGGGTTACATATATGAACTGAAGCCACTGCCATGAAATCTAATCCCATTCATAACACCCCCATGTAACAGAGTAGAATGCTCCATAGGGTTCCCAAAGCCATAATCTATACTGAAGTAAACTGTCATATCTTTCTTCTATGAGGCGGCTGGTGGGCTGGAACTGCCAACCTTTTGGACAGTAGCACTGTACCAGCAGTGTCGTCATATAACACATACAGTTGTTGTCAGTAACTGTCCTCGAGTCGGTTCTCACTCACAGCTACCCCTTCATAGTAGCACACAGCCTCACCTTTCTCCCATGGAGCAGCTGGTGGGCTCGAACCGTGGATCGTTACCACATTTTAAAAAAACATAGGACATGAGTCAATTAAAAGAGATGAAGGCTGCCAGTAAGACTTCCTCATGGAATTTTTTTGATTTTTTCAGAAAATAGAAAATTGTATTTATTTATTATTTTTAAAAAGTGTTATTTTATGAAAAAAAGATGGACCTGAAAAGTCATGGCAAGCCCTCTCAGCCTTAGAGAACGCGGGGCGCTAACCGATCCCCATCATTCCGCCTTAGAGAACGCGGGGCGCTAAC